GGGGGGGGAGAGAGAGAGGGTTGGAGGAGTGATTTATGGGCAGAGGGTTGGGAAGAGTTGTGGGGGCAATTAGGGAAAGATGGGGAGAGGGTTGGGGAGAGAGTTTTGAAGATGAAGTTGGAGAAAAGTAAATAATAAAAAGAGTTTTATTGATATCTCCTTGTGGGGCTCAGCAGGGTGGGTGCTGGAAGGTTATCTCCACCCACCCCCACCAACTGCGCCCCGTCACTCTCCCCCCACCCCAACCACCTCAGGGAGTCCAGACCCAGGGGTCACAGTGACTCAGGATAAAGGGGTCAGCCATTTTAGAACGGGATGAGGAGGAATTTCTTGATTGATTGGTTTTATTGTCACATGTGCCGAAATACAGTGAAGAGCTTTGTTTATGAGCGGTACATGGGGTGGGGAATTCTCTCCATACTGGAGGTGTCAAGGGGGTGGTCATTATCCTGAGGGGGGTGTGGGGTGTCCTGGGAATGTCGGAGGCCCAAGGGACGAACACAGCATCCAGTGACACTGAAGGTCGTTAATAAATCCAGAATTGAAATCTCGTCTCAATAACCTTGATCGTGAGACCCTTTTGTTAAAACCCAATCTGGGTGACTAATGCCCCTTTAAGGAGGGTACTCTGCCCATCCTTACCTGGTCTGGGCCTACACGTGACTCCAGACCCCTCAGCCTTAGGTGGCATACTTAAAAGGGAAATCAGGAGGGCAAAAAGGGGACCGTGAGATAGCTTTGGCAAATAGGATTACGGAGAATCCAAAGGATTCTACAAATACATTAAGGACACAAAGGGTAACTAGGGAGAGAATAGGGCCCTTAAAGGCCAGCAAGGCCGCATATGTGTGGAACTGCAGGAGATGGGGGAGATACTAAACAATTATTTTGCATCAGTGTTTACTGTGGAGAAGGATATGGAAGATATAGAACATGGGGAAATAAATAGCAACATCTTGAAAAGTGTCCAGATTACAGAGGAGGAGGTGCTGGACATCTTAAAACGCATTCAAGGTGGATATGTCCCCGTGACCTGATCAGGTGTACCCTAGAACTCTGTGGGAAGCTAGGGAAGTGATTGCTGGGCCCTTGCTGAGATATTTGTGTCAGCGATAGCCACAAGTGAAATGCCGGAAGACTGGAGGTTTCTATGTAAGAAAGATGGTAAGGAAAAGTCAGGGAACTGTGGCCTGATGAGCCTGACATCGTTGGTGGTTAAGTTGGTGGAGGGAATCCTGAGGGACAGGATTTACATGTATTTGGAAAGGCAAGGACTGATTAAGGATAGTCAACATGGCTTTGTGTGTGGGAAATCATGTCTTACTAACTTACAGAATCATAGAGTCATACAGAATGGAAACAGACCCTTCAGTCCAACCAGTCCATGATCAGAAGCTAAACTAGTCCTACCTGCCTGCTCCTGGCCCATATCCCTCCAAACCTTTCCTATTCATATATCCATCTAAATGCCTTTTAAACGTCGTAATTATACCCGCATCTACCACTTCATCAGGAAGTTCATTCCACACATGAGCCATCCTCTGTGTAAAAAAATTGCCCCTTTATATCTTTATTAAGTCTTTCCCCTCTCACCTTAAAAATGTGCTCCCTAGTCTTGAAATCCCCCATCTCAGGGAAAAGATGATTACCATTAACTCTATCTATACCTCTCATTATTTTATAAACTTCTATAAGATCATCTCTCAACCTCCAGTGAAAAAATCCCAGTCTATCCAGTCTCTCTTTATGACTCAAACCTTCCATACCCGGCAACATCCTGGTAAATCTCTCTGAACCCTCTCCAGCTTAATACTATCCTTCCTATAACAGGGTGACCCAAAGTGGACACAGTGCTCCAGAAGAGGCCTCACCAATGTCCTGTACAACCTCAACATAACATCCCAACTCCTATATTCAAAGGTCTGAGCAATGAAGGCAAGCGTGCCAAATGCCTTTTTAACCAAACTTTAAAGATTTATGTACCTACAACCCTAGGTCCCTCTGTTCTACAACACTACCCAAGGCCCTACCATTAATTGTATAAGCCCTATCCTTGTTTGTTGTACCAAAATGTAATACCTCACATTTATCCAGAATGCACTCCATCTCCCATTTTTCAGCCCATTGACCCATTTGATCAAGATCCCTTTGTAATCTTAGAAAACCTTCCTCACTGTCCACTATGCCACCAATTTTGGTGTCATCCGCAAACTTACTAACTATGCCTTCTATATTCTCATCCACATTATTTATATAAATGATAAACAAGAGAGGACCCAGCACCGATCATTGTGGCACACCGCTGGTCACAGGCCTCCAATCTGAAAAGCAACCCTCCACCATTACTCTCTGTCTCCTACCTTTGAGCCAATTTTGTGTCCAATTGGCAAGCTCTCTCTGAATCCCACGTGACCTAACTTTACTGATTAGTCTCTCATGTGGAACCTTGACAAAGGCTTCACTAAAATTCAAATAAACAACGTCTCCTGCTCTGCCATCATCAATCTTTTTGGTAACTTCCTCAAAAAAATCTCAATCAAGTTTGTGAGAAATGATTTTCCTCGACTAAGCTTTTTGAAGAAGAAAGAAGATTGATGAACGCAGAACGGTTGATGTAGTCTATATGGAATTCAGTAAGACTTTCGACAAGGTTCTGCATGGTAACCTGGTTTGCAAGGTTAGATCACATGGAATACAGGGAGAGCGAGCCAATTGGATACAAAATTAGCTGGAAGGTAGGAGGCAGAGGATGGTGGTGGAGGGTTGCTTTTCAGACTGGAGGCCTGTGACCAGTGGTGTGCCACAAGGATCGGTGGTCTAGACCCGAAACGTCAGCTTTTCTGCTCCTCTGATGCTGCTTGGCCTGCAGTGTTCATCCAGCTCTACACCTTGTTATCTCGGTCTGGGTCCATTGCTTTCTGTCATTTATATCAATATTTGGATGTGAACATAGGAAGAACGGTTAGTAAGTTTGCAGACAATACCAAAATTGGAGGTGTACTGGACAGCGAAGAAGGTTACCTCAGAGTACAATGGGATCTTGATCAGACGGGACAATAGAATGGCGGATGGAGCTTAATTTAGATAAATATGAGGTGTTGCACTTTGGTAACGCAAACCAAGGCATGAATTATACAGTTAATGGTAGGATCCTGGCGAATGTTGCTGTACAAAGGGAGCTACACGTTCACAGTTCCTTGAAAGTGGAGTCGCAGGAAGACAGGATACTGAAGAAGGCATTTGGTATGCTTGCGTTCACTGGTCAGTGCATTGAGTGTAGGAGTTCATATTACAGCAGTACAGGACATTTCATAGAATCCCTACAGTGTGGAAACAGGCCCTTCAACCCAACAAGTCCACACTAATCCCCAGTGCGTCCCACCCAGACCAATCCCTCTATAACCCATCTAGTCTACACATCCCCGAACACTATGGGGCAATTTAGCACGGCCAATCCACCCTAACCTGCACATCCCTGGGCACTACGGGGCAATTTAGCACGGCCAATCCACCCTAACCTGCACATCCCTGAACACTATGGGGCAATTTATCATGGCCAATCCACCCTAACCTGCACGTCTTTGGACTGTGGGAGGAAACCGGAGCACCCGGAGGAAACCCACGCAGACACAGGGAGAACGTGCAAACTCCACACAGATAGTCACCCGAGGGTGGAATCGAACCCGATTCCCTGGCGCTGTGAGGTAGCAGTGCTAATCACTGAGCGACCGTGCTGCCCCTAACATTAGTTAGGCCACTTTTGGAATACTGTGTTCAATTCCGGTCTCCCTGCTATAGGAAGGATGTTGTTAATCTTGAAAGGGTTCAGAAAAGATTTACAAGGATGTTGCCAGGGTTTGAGCTACAGGGAAAGGCTGAATAGACTGGGGCTATTTTCCCCTGGAGCGTCGGAGGATAAGGGATGACCTTATAGAGGTTTATAAAATCACAAGGGGCATGGATAGCGTAAATAGACAAGGTCTTTTCCCCAGGGTAGGGGAGTCCAAAACTAGAGGGGCATAGGTTTAAGGTGAGAGGGGAAAGATTTAAAAGGGACCAGAGAGGCAACATTTTCACACAGAGGGTGATGCGTGTATGGAATGAGCTGCCAGAGGAAGTGGTGGAGGCTGGTACAAGTATAACATTTAAAAGGCAACTGGATGGGTATCTGAATAAGAAGGGTTTAGATGGATATGGGCCAAATGTTAGCAAATGAGATTAGATTAATTTAGGATATCGGGTCAGCATGGATTAGTTGGGCCGAAGGGTCTGATTCTGTGCTTTATGACTGCCTTCTGAAGGGTTGGTCATTCCTGGAACCACAGGGAAAAGTGGAAGCAGAGGGAACGCTCCTGTTTCAGCTCATCGCCTGCCTCCTCACAGGACAATTAGGGACAGGGCAGGAATGGCTCACCCTCAACGCGCAAAGGAATACAAGGGGTTCAGATTCTCTGAAGGACTCGGTGTGTGAGGGGCGGTGCCAGTTGGAGGAGGACGGGCCCAGTCCTGGGAGAGGGGGAGAGAATCCCAATGGAGAATCTGAGAGGTTGGAGGGGGACAGGGTGGAAATATTTCCCCTCGGAGATCTATCACGGTCAGGAACAGTCCAATCCTGACAACAACGGTGGGGAGGGCATTGGATGCGGAATGCAAGAACGGGGAAGTACCGATGGCAGGTGCACCCACAAAGAACCAGCACAGACAATGAGGGCCAAATGGCCTGCCCTGGACCAATAGGACCAGAACGTTGGCCCCCTCGATCCCTGGGTGCAGGTGGTTACGCAGTGGGGTGGTCACATGGGAATTTTGCGAAGGTTTACGCACCTTGATCCTGTACATGCTGGCCTCGATTTTCAGCTGTTCCACGAGTTTCCGAGCCTGTGCAATGCTCATGGTGCTGTTCACTGGTGTATCTGCTTTGGGCATCCTCCTGGGCCACGGGCAGACAGAGAGGTAGTCACTGAGTTACACTCGAATTCCTCAAAACCTCCACCTATCCACCTCGTAGAAAGATGCACCGTAGAAATTCACCACAGATCCTCCAACAGCGCCTTCCAAACCCACGGCCACTTCCACCTGGAGTCATAGAGATGTACAGCACAGAAGCAGACCCTTCGGTCCAACTCGTCCACGCTGACCAGATATCCTAAATTAATCCAGTCCCATTTGCCAGCATTTGGCCCGTATCCCTCTAAACCCTTCCTACTCATATACCTATCCATATTCCTGGTCATTCCATACACGCGCCACCCTCTTCGGGAAAAGTTGACCCTTTGGTCCCTCTTAAATGTTGTCATTGTACCAGCCTCCACCACTTCCTCTGGCAGCTCGTTCCATACATGCACCACCCTCTGCGTGAAAAAGTTGCCCCTCAGGTCCCCCTTAAATCTTTCCCCTCTCACCTTAAACCTATGCCCTTCTAGTTTTGGACTCCCTCACTCTGGGGAAAAGACCTTGACTATTCACCCTATCCATGACCCTCATGATTTTATAAACCTCGATAAGGTCACCCCTCAGCCTCCAACGCTCCAGGGAAAATAGCCCCAGCCTATTCAGCCTCTCCCTGTAGCTCAAACCCTCCGACCCTGGAAACATCCTTGTAAATCTTTTCTGAACCCTTTCAAGTTTCACATCTGTCCTACAGCAGGGAGACCAGAATTAACTAGAAGGTCAAGGGCAGCAGATACATGAGAACGCACACCACTCCCTGCAAGTTGCCCTCCGAGGCATACGCCATCCTGACTTGGAAATATATTGCCGTTCCTTCAGTGTCACTGGGTCAAAATCCTGGAATTCCCTCCCTAACAGCACTGTGGGTGTCCCTACACCACATGCACTGCGATTCAAGAAGGCAGGTCACCACCATTACCTCCAGGGGCAATTAGGGGCCAAGACGTGAACTCCATACACGCCAGTTAATTTGAAAGTAAATGCTAGTGGTCCGAACTTGTACCAATCCATTCTGGCTCAGTCTTGGCTATTCGCCTACGGTAGGCCTGACGGTCGACAGTTTTCCCCATCGCAATTATCATACTTTCCATGAAGCATGCAGCCTCTCCAGCTTCCCACCCTTCTGTACTTCACCCCCACCCCTTCCCCTCCAACGTCACCTTCCTAAATAAATCCTGGGGCCCCTAACACTGGATGGAGACCTGAAATCAAATCGGGACAGCAGGAGGCCATTCGGCCCTCCCCTGACTGGACTCGATGCGACCAACTTGCCAATTCCCGACAGCCTTTCCCTGACAAACATCCACCTCGTCTTTGAAATTATTGTAAGGAAATTACAGACATTGTAGGCCATTCGGCCCTCATAGCCATGTAGTGCAATTCAATAAGATCATGTGATCGGATTTCTCCGCACTTCCCTGATCAACCTCACCCCCTCACTTAGAGTCATAGAGACATACAGTCGGAAGCAGGCCCTTCGGCCCACCCAGTCCATGCCGACCATAATCCCAATCTAAACTAGTCCCACCTGCCTGCTCCCGGCCCATATCCCTCCAAACCTTTCCCATTCATGTACTTATCCAAATGTCTTTTAAACGTTGTAACTGTACCCCCATCCACCACTTCCTCTGGAAGCTCATTCCACACATGAACTGCCTTCTGTGTTTAAGAAAAAAATTGCCCCCCCATGTCTTTTTAAAATCTCTCTCCTCTCACCTTAAAAATATGCCCCTGAGTCTTGAAATTCCCCCACCCTAGGGAAAAGACGGAGTGGGAGGGGAAGAGGGAAGTGGGCAGGAGTGGGGAGAGGATGGACTGGGGGTGGTGGGAGGGAGGAGAAGGGAACATGAAGGGGAGGTGTTGGAGAAGGGAATGGGAGGAGAGCGCTGGAGAACCGGGAGAGGTTGGGGGAAGGGGGTGATGGGAGAGGAGCGATCCAGATTTCCCACACCTTCTGAATGTTTCAGAGCCTCCTGACCTAAGCTGGTTGGAGTAATTCTGCTGAAGGCCAGATGGGGGAGGTGTGCAAGGAGGTCTGAACTCCTCAGGACCGAGGCTGGTGGGTTGGGAGGGCTGGAGGTCAACCCAAGTCAGACCCTTCAGCCCTCAAACCTCTCCTAACCCACCCTCCTCCCATTGGCCGTGTAACCCATCCCTCCTTGGCTCGACCCTTCCTTTCCAGCCAATCCTAATGCAGATAGCCCCAGACCTCAGATTGGCTGATTCTTGACTGGCCAATAAGGAACCTCCTGGCCCCCCCCACCCCGCCCCGGGTCAATAACAAATTGACCAAATGGCCAAACAAAAGTTAGACAAAATAAATAAATAATTAACAACCAATGAAATCCGCTGTTGGAAAATATGTCGCATCAGAACGAATGTAGTGAGTGACCAATGGTAATCAGTGAGAGGGGTTTCCTTGGCGACAGGTCTGTTTAGGTCAAGATTCATGGGTTGCCCTGGCCATGTGGCCTTTGATCTGACATGCGTCAAGCTTCTGTGACCTTCTCCATTACACCCTGTGCCCTTTAACCTGACACCGCCCTCCTCACTATGTGGCCCCCAAAAACTCCCTCCCTCCCCTCCAGGTGGCTCGTCCTCTACCACCGTTTCCCCCTACAACCTCCTTGGAGCCACTCCATCACCCACGTCCTCGCGTGGGTTCATAAAACTGTTCCTCACACACTATGTACTGTCAGACACAGGGTACACACACAGTTACACTGAGACACACAGTCACACACACACACACACAGTCACACTCATGCACACAGTCACGCTCA